GTCGAAGTAAAGTTATGACATGTTTTTCAAAAAGTATAAGTGAACGAAGTATATTGTTAACGAAAGATCCATTCAAAATTAAAAAGAAAGTGTAGATACACACTTTGCATCTGCCGGAGTATCTCCAATTAAGGTCAAAGGATTGCACAAGTCAGGTAAAATCAGAGAAGGTAAACGCAAATTGACAGCATTAACAACCTCCATTAAAAAAAAGGTAGCCATTTCCCTTAATATATCAGAAGAAAGTTTTGAAGAACAGTCAAGTTTTAATAATGAGTATATGGAAAAAGCAAACTTGTTTGATAACATGATGGTATTGTTAACTAACAAATTGGCAGAGTCTACATCAACATCAAAAAAGTACAACTTGCGACACTTGCTCCAACAGACTGGTCAATAAAAAATGTATCTGAAACATTGCATGTAACAAACTATGTAGCTTAAACTGCACGTAAGTTAACATTAGAAAAAGGTATTTTAACCATGCCTAATCCTAAATTAGGAAAAGATCTTCCTGATGTAACAGTTCAACTGGTCAAGACCTTTTATGAAGACGATGAACATAGCCGTATAATGCCTGGTAAAAAGGACTATGTAAGCATAAAGAAAAATGTCCACATGCAAAATCGTTTGCTCTTATGTAATTTAAAGGAATTGTTTGTTGCCTTTAAAACCAAGAACCCAGAAATAAAAATAGGATTTTCAAGGTTCTGCACCTTGCAACCTAAATGGTGTATTACTGTTGGTGCCTCAGGAACACATTCTGTATGCGTCTGTGCTATTCATCAAAATTTGAAACTGCTTTTACATCCTCTTGGTGTGACATACAAAAAATTTTTACCTTATATTGTCTGTGATATAACTAATAAAGACTGTATGATGAGGAAATGTGAAAAATGCCCAGCAACTATGAATGCATTAGTTGAAAAACTTTATGATATACTTGGAGAATTTGAAGATGATGATGAGATTGAATTTGATCAATGGACAACAACAGATAGGTCAAACTTGACACATAATAAAAAGCCAGTGTTTGAATACATTGAACTAGTATATAGAAAACTGGAAAAACTTGCACCACATTCGTATTAAGCAAAGAGTCAAGCATTATACCTGAGATCAAGAAAGGAAGATATGAATGAGGCAACAGCATTATTTCTGGGTGATTTTTCAGAAAACTATAAATTTGTAGTTCAGGATGAAGTCAAAGCTTTCATTGAACAAATTTACAATGTACACTTCATCCAGTGATTATTTATTTCAAAAAAGAAGGCATTCTCAAGCACAAATCCTATTGTATTATTTTGGATGTAATGATCCATGATGTGAACATATATAAAATATAAAATTATTGAGCTTTATAAAATTATTATTAAAATTATTATAATATTAAATAATTATTATAATATTAAATATTATTATAATATAATAAATTATTATTATAAAATTAAAATTATTGAGGTTTATAAAATTATTGAGCTTGTTTGCAATGATATAAAAACAAATTTGCCTCAAATAAAAAATATTGAATACTTTTCAGATGGGTGTGCAGGTCAATATAAGAATTGCAAAAATATCTTAAATCTTTGTTTCCATTGTGAAGATTTTGGTTTTACTGCTAAATGGAACTTTTTTGCAACTAGTCACGGTAAGCAACCTTGTGATGGGATAGGTGGTACAGTCAAAGGTCTGGCAACACTAGCAAGTTTGCAAAGAGATATGGGTAATCATATTTTATCTCCATAAACAATGTTTAAATATTGCAATGAAAGCATCGAAGACATAAATTTTATCAGAAGAGTTAACTTTTAAAGAACGATTGGATACTGCTAATATAATACCTGGAACACGTAGTTACCATCAGTTTGTACCACTTGGCCATCAAAAGATAAATTATTATTTTTTAATTATACCTTTTACCATTTTTTAAAATACACGCATAACTTTTATTGATAAACTCAAATAGATATTAGATCTTTGCAGAATCATTATCAAAAGTATTTGTATTTTATTTTATTTCCTCTGCATTTGCTATCTATGCATTTAATAAAACATGTTTGATAAGTAAAACGGAATAATTGCATATGTTACTACTTTGTTTAGGTAGGCACTAAGCTATGCAGTGTTGATGAAGAATTTGCTTTAATTCATGACTTTGGAAATATCCAGATAACAACTGTAAACCTAGTACCAGGTGATTATGCCTGTGTTTCCTATGAGCAAAATTGGTGGATAGAAGTCATTGAAGATATTAATTTAGAAGAAAAAGATGTGCTTGTAAAATTTATGTGTCCTAATGGTCCTGCACGGTCGTTTAAATGGCCACCAACGGAAAGCCAATGCTGGATTCCTGATGTCCACATTATTTTCAAAGTTGAGGTACCGATAACAAAAACAGGACTTTGCTACTATTTAGCCAAAGAGGACTTAAAAAAAATTATTTACCAAAGGAAGTAGAGATTTTTATATTTATGAGTCTTTTATGTCTTATCCATTCTTTTTTTAAATACTATGTTTTTTGAACCAACTTGTAAATAATGTGAATGTAAAGCATATATAAAATCACTAAAGTTTAGTATTTTTAAGAAAAAAATTTATATACTTTTAAATTTTGTTGTAAATATCATATGAAAATGAAAAAGACAATAAAGTCACTAAATTTTGAGTTTCTAATTTGATCGATTGGTAAAAGGTGGGGTTATAATAAGTGTCTAATTTAAAAAATATTAAAAAATTTTGTGTCTATATCAAACATAAATAATTCCTCAAGTAAATATAAGACCAAAACAAAATTGGTTCGAAAAGTAGGCGTTGATCTTATTTTTAAGAAAATCGAAATTAAATTTATTTTATATCAGTCAGATTTTTTTTATAGCTATAATTGTTAATGCCCTTTTTTCTCGGCGTTATAAAGTGCATTTTATGGATCTTAAAATAACCTACATTTCCCTGTTTTGACATATAAAAAACTATATTTTTCGGACTTAATAGGTTTTAAACTCGTTTGGTACAAAATTTCAGAATTGTGGCATCACTATAAGCACCATATTTAGGTGAAAGTAAACGGAATGATTTTCGGCACTTTTCCGGAATGATTTTCGGCACTTTCGGCATTTCCCCCCCCCCCCCCCCCCTCATCCCTCAGTTTTTAGTCAAAATCAAGAAAACTTCAAATTGCTGTAAATTATAAACGGTAGGGAATTTTATGAAAAAAAATTACAATCTTTCCTAACATGTCTATAAACATTTGTGCCAAGTTTCAGAAATTTTGGTGATATAGGGTGCAGATTTGTGCTTTTTTTGTGTTTTTTGAGAAAATTTTACCCTGGTAGAAGAAAATTTCAAGTATAAAAATATAATTAGTTTTTTAAAGTTTTTAAATAGTTTTCGTATTTTACATAATTAAAAACATTATCGATAATTAGTTGAAATAAGTTTAAGCTTATTAATAAAAAAAACACTTAATTAAGTGGAATAGCATTATATTGTAATGTTTTTTGTAGTTTACGCAATTGCAAATAATTATTTAGAGTTCATACTTAACGACAATGTGCTTCGAACAATTCAAAATGACAAACAAGTTTTATGTTCAAAACCTGCTAAATTTTAATTGGCGCAACTCTGGGCAAGATATTTTTAATGAGAAACTTTTTACAAAATTAAGACACTGTAAAAAAGTTAATCCCATTGTGGGGAAACGTGAGCGAAAAAAGATCTTGAATCATTTATGGTAACTTTTTATTATATTTTGTAATGCTTTTAACTGTCATATTTGAAGGTAAAAAAAAGTCCTAAATACAAAATCATTTTTATTTTTTTAATTTTTTAAAATAAAGCATGTACCCTCATAATAAGATTATAAAATTTTAATTATATTTAAAAAAACTGCGCTTACGAGATGAAATTTAATTTTATAAGTTTTTTTTTTTTTTTTTTAATTTTTAAATGGACAAGCTTGAAAACTTCCCCTGGACTCATAAAACAAAAATTATAATATTTAACGACAGATTTTTTTATTGCGGAGTATTTATTTTTAAAATATTGTAAAAAAAAAAAGTTCCCACTAATACTTTTTTTCGGTATTTATGCCAGTCTCTGGCAAGTCAAAATGGCACTTTTGCAATAAAATAAAAAAATTTTGCAATGAAATTTGTAAGCTTAGATTGGTATAATCGAAGCGGAATAATCTCTTAAAAGTTTATTGGATAAGTTTTTAACAACTATTCGATGAATTAAGAAGTTAATTTCTACAAAAATCACAGTTAAGGCGAAGTAATAGTTTCTCACACACCTCAATTATAGGTATAAATATCTATATATAATTAAGTTTTAGATAATCTTTATTACCTTTTTGAATCTTATTTTTTGCTTGCCTGTTCAGCTCTAGGTTTGTTAGTTTCATTAAGAATCTTTCGACCAGGCACTCATTAAACCCCTCTAGGCTTTTACTTTGTGTGTAGTGTTTTTTCTGGATTTAAAAGCAAATTGTTTTATTCTAAATATAGAGATATAGAACACCTGGCAAAAATACTACCGATTCTTCTCTAGACATTTATTAATTCAATTCTAATCTGGAAATTTATTATTAGTCGTTCAAAAGCACACCATAAAAAATAACAATAAATTAACTCTAAATATTGTTTAAGAACTTTTTAAACTTCCATGTTTTATTTGCAATGTTGCGATTGCTTATGACGTTTTGAAACAATATCATAAGGTAATTTTTGTTAAAAGTGGAATGTAACTGGTTAACTTTAAATTATGATAATTACGCGGTGTTTAATAGAAAATTATGTTACAACTAAGACTGTTTCTTGAGAAATTACGTATTTAACTGTGTTTTCCCTTCAGTTATTATATTTCTGAAAAATCATTTTAAAAACCACACACTTCGGCTTAGAAAATAATTTTTAAACGGCACACCTCGACTAAGTAAAATCATTTTTCTGAACCTAGAAACTAAAATTAATTTTTTGACAAATAATAGATAAAATAAAAGATTAACAGCGTAAAAACGTCAAAAATAAACAAGACAAGTTTTTAAACAATTAATACACTAAACGTTGACGAAAATTCTTCTTTTGAAACATCACGTTGAGCACTAACTGTGATTCGCGCAGTAGTTCCAACAAGACTTGATTCGCTGGGTGCGTTAAATTTGAATTGTATAAATGCATTTTTTCTAATAGTCAAAGATTGTGTTGCTGGTGAAATACTTCCGTGGCTTGCTTTTACAGTAAAAGTAATTGACTCTTCATTATCAAAGTTGAAAACCATAACTTGAGCATCAACAGTATTAGATAATCGGGCGGTGAACATATTTCCAGCAAATATGGGAACCATAAAAGTAGTTTTAGGTTTCAAGACTCCAAGAGATATACGTTCAAAATTTGATCCGTTTATAGTGAGACCTTAAAATTGAGAAAAACAGCAATATATTAATCAAATTTAAATATAAATAAAACGTCATAAAACAACTACTTACCATAACATTTTAGTTTGAACGGTGAATTAGGAGGGGTAATTTTAGCGGAAAACACTCCGTTTTCTTGCATGAATAAAGATAAATCAGAAAGCAAGGTTCCTTTTAGTCCTCGAACTTGACATTTAAAAGTAGATAAATTGATATTTCCGCCAGCAACTCGTACAATCATATTATTTTCCAAACCTGTGCTCAATAATAAAACAAAATAAATAAAGATAAATAAAATAGTATTATAATATAAAACAAAATAAATAAAGATAACAAATAAAATAGTATTATAATATAAAATAAAATAAATAAAGATAACAAATAAAATAGTATTATAATATAAATAGTATTATTATAAAAACAACCTTTGATAGGGTCGCTAAAAAGATACACAGGGCTATTTTTAGTGGGATGTTGTTGATAAGCAAAGGAAATAGAAAATTCGATCGGGTCATTTGAAACCGCTTGAACACTATACTTGAAATCTCCTGCACTTGTTGGAAGATTAAGGGTCCATTTACCAAAAAATCCTTTGCTAGAACTTGTTACTTGGTAAATCTTTGTCATAGACGTAGTTGTACTTGGTGATGCTTGCTTGCCATCTTCAAATTGTAACTGAATCAGGTTAACTGCATTTAATGCGCTAGTGGAAGCAGATACAATAATCTTTTCAATGCCATCATCAACAAAAAAGTCATAACTAGTTATCGCTTCTCTTTTAGTACTAATACCCTTTGTTGCCTCACCTGATGCTATGACTGTATCTTGCTGCAAACTGCTTTTCACATATTCTGTAAAACTCATTATTTCTTTGTCATCTTTCAGGGGGAATATTTGACCTATTAAGTTGAATAAATTATTAAACATCCATTAAAAAATAATTCTTAGGCAAAAGTTGTATCTATAAAAAACATGAAGAAACAAATAATAATAAAAAAAACTTTAACACTAGAGGGAAGTTATTCACTTTTTTTTAAAAAAAAGCAAAAAAAAAAAAACAGTTATATAGTCAAAAACTGAATCTTTTTAAAGATTGGCATAAAATCTTTTTTTCTCCATTAAACAAGGATAAAAATAAAGATTATCTCCAAATGTAGTAATAATAATCCAAATAATTGTAAAAATATCATAAACATTTTTTTAATTATATAATAAAATAAAAAATTTTAATTATATAATAAAAATATCAAAAACATTTTTTTAATTATATAATAAAACATTAACAACATTTGTTACATAAGCTACATCAAAAGTTAAAAAAAAGTTAACAAGAGACTTTCAAAAAATATTTTCGTTTCTTTTTATCTTTAGTTTTAAATTTTTTGTTTCAAAAACTAAAGATACTACGTATTACCTATATTTAAAATACTTAAGAACCATAAAATAATCAAGGATCTTGAGTTATAAAAAATTATTCCTGTGTTCAATTTATACTACACGAAAAATAACTTTTAATATCATTCTATATGAAAAAAAAAAAAAAACATTAAAAAAATAACATTTACAAAAATATAAAACTTTTTATTAGTTTTTTTTATTTTTAGTTTACTTTTCATTATTAGTACCCATATTTCTTGTAAAAAAAAAATATAGCTAATAGCTATCTACACTACAGATACTATATACTCCTTATATTCAAAATATTCAAGACCCATAAAATAATCAAGAATTTTTAAAGCTACTTCTGACATTTTATTCATACAAGACAATTAAATTTAAATATTATTTTATAAAAAAACAGCAATAAATAATAAAAACAATTATACAAATACCTTACCTGATGTGTATGCTGCAATCTCTTTAAAACTATCTATACCAGATCCACAACCATTAAGATTAGCAAAAAATGTAATAGGTGAGGAATATGATGATGCAGCACCTTTCAAGGCATCAATATTTGATCTAGAATCATCTTTAGCACTGGCATCTGTGAAAACAAACATTGGACTGCTGTATTGTGGTCCTTTATTAAAAGCATTTAACATACCACCAAATGCTAGTTCTGGACAATCACCACCACCATAAATAGGAAGCTTAGTGATTGCATCTATGACTTCAGCTCTTTGCTTTTCACTTTTGTAAACAACTGGCCCAAGATCTAAATGTATTACAATTGTTAAAAACAATAAGCCCAACATGAAATTATTGTTAAAAATATTTTTATATAAATGTAAAATTTCAGAAAAGTTCATGCAAAAAAATTACCAAAATTAATACTTTAAACATTTACCAGGGTCATTAAATGGTGATAGTATGTAATCAACAGGAAACTCTCGAGTTGTTTCAATTATTGCCTTTGCAATTCCCTTTGCAGCATTTATTTCTTCAGACATAGATCCAGTTGTATCCATTACAAACATTAAAGTACTAGCCCCTTGACTTGAAATTATTTGAGAAAATTTTTCATCACCAACTTCAGATTTAATCTTATTTAAATATCCCTCTGATGCTTTATTTATGTCGTCGATTGGAAGCCCTTCAGCTATTTCTTTCTGTGGTAATCAAAAGTTTAAAAATAAAATCTAAATTATAATTTGCAAATCAATTGAAATAATTAATGAAAAATAGGTATTTACTTTCATAAAGTTAAACAAAGATTTTCCAAGAGTAACACGAGCAAAATCGATAGAACCTCCTTTAGCAGCAGTAATTAAAAATTCTTCTAATTCTTTTAACAAAGTTTCAACAGGCTTTCGTGCTGTTGGATCAACTGAAACAAACTCAGCAGCAACAGCTTTTTGAATTTCAAAGATTGCCTTCAAAGATTTACCTATATGGTTGAAGAAAAAACACTTTATGTATACATATTAAAGAAAAGTTAAATGCTATTTGAAGACACAAATTAAAATTTTATAGTTACTCTCCCCAGTCAAACAGCATATTAAGTATACTCTTCAAATGAATCTATAGTAACTTAATATTACCAATACAAAATAAATAAAGAATAGAAACAAAAACAAAAAAAATTTAACCCCATATGTAGGCATAGTATATACAAGACATACCTACAGACAGTATCTACTCATTCCAAAACAATTAGTCAATGTATGTTTGAAACACCACTAATGATAGCATACAGACATAGGGGTAACTAGAGGTTTCAATCAATATATACTAAGGGTTAGGGTATAGGCAGGCATTACCTAAGTATAAAAGAGATCTATTAAGGTAAAAATCATTCTCATTTTGCTCATTTTTCTGTGCATAAAGTGCTTGGATTTAAGTCTAAAAATGCCAATTCTCCAATACAATTTTGAGAATTTTCTTTTGTTAACTGATCTGAAACATTCTTAAATTATTTTCTTAAACTGATCTGAAACATATCAGATCTCTGACCATCTTTGTCTATTCTTCTTTTATGACCAAACCACTTTATCAGATCTCTGACCATCTTTGTCTATTCTCCTTTTTTTTTAGTCACACCACTCATCTTTTTACTATTTTTCTTTATTTTTTATGGTCACACCACACATCTATAGTCATTTTCTCTATTCTTTTCAGAAACTGTACATCATAAACCTAAATTACCAATGTTTCACTGCCACATCATAACACACTGAATGTATGAGGTTTATAACTACGCTTTATTTACTGGAAAACAATTAAAAAAATAAAAATAACTTTATGAACTTTGCCCAGGCACACTTTACTCTTACCTTTGATGCCTCTTATGTTCTGCCAGTTAATACAATTTTTAGGCATTTTTTATAATCAAATTAAAAATACCTGAAATTGGTTTTCCTGGATTCACTGCAATATAAAATTTGTTTAAAAAATCGTCAACCAGTTTTTGAGCTTTTGTGACACCATCAGGGCCTAAAAAAAAGAGCAGCCCTTAAATAAAAAAAAATATACAAAAATCTGGTCCTTAATAAAAGTGGCAAATAACTTAAGTAGAATACTGAGTGTGTTACATTTTGCTCACATATTAGTTACACGACACTATCAAGTCATAATTGAAAGTAAAATATAAAATGAAGTGATATCTTGACATAAAAGTTTATTTTTAAGTTATAAATTTGAATATGTGCAGCTATGAAATGGAGATCTTTTCTTCATTTGGACAACTCAGACAAAATATATACACCCTTTCAGAGTCCAAGTTAACAGGATTCTACTGTATGATTCAAAAACCTTGAAAAAAATCATTTTAGTAATTTTTAGTTAAAAAATGATAGATTTTTCTGCAAAATATTTTATTCAAATTAGTTAAAATTTAACTTTTAAAATTTATTTTAAGTTGAGATACCATATAAAAATAAATATTAATTTGAATATAAAATGATCACTACTTCTAAAATTTATTTTAGGTTAAGATATCATTAATAAAAAAATTTTGAACTAATATTACAGATTGTTAAATATTCAAGGGTCTTGCATATATTTTTATAACAACTTTACCTATTTTTTTTTTAATCTGGAATCAAAATTGCCATAAAGAAAAAAACTTACAAGTTCATTAATACTGAAGAAAATAGTGTTTAAAACCACCATATTAGAAATAATTAGAAATATTGGGAATATTCAAAGCAATAAAAAATACTTGAAATTAGGAAGTAATTCTCAATACCGCATTAAACTTGTTTTAACTTATTACAAACCCTTGTCAGGAACCCATGAAAATTCAAGTTGCAGTTTTCAAGCTAAAAATCAGCAACTTAAAAAAGCTTTAAAGATCAAATAATTGAATGCAGATTATCAAGTAATAATAAATCACATACCAGGACAGAAATTGTTTTTACATCCTTGGGTTTCTATTTTTACACCAATACAGTCTTTGCCTCCATTTTGTGGTTTAGGATTATCACATTCTCGCGTTCTTGTTTGCACACCTCCACCACATGTTTTTGTACAAGGACTGAAATCTGACCAATCACTGAAACCACCATCTATTTCTAGTTTGATAAGAAATATATGCATTTGTAAACGCATACCCAAAAATAAATTTTACTTATTAAAAATTACTTATTAACAAAAAAACTTTAAAAAGTTCAATAAAATACCAAATTTATACCAGTTTTTAAGCACAAATCTTACAAAGAACCTTTTAAAACCTCATAAATATGAGGTGACCTGTTATTCTTTTGACCATTTATTTGTGTATGTTTGTGTTAATTTTGAAATATTAACTTTCATAGATTTAACAAACACAGTTTTAACAGGTTGTTTTTTAATTCTATTTCAGTAATTATAAATTAAATTAATCATAAATAAATTAAAACAGTGTCATTTAAATTCAAATCTATAATTTTGACTCCAAATAGTTCATTATCAAGAGGAGAACCAGATAAAAAATACAGCTTACTAAAATTTTGGTGAAGTTGGTTGTTTAGTGTTAGTAAAAAAAAATTAAGAATATTCAAGAAAAAAAAATTAAGAATATTCAATAACTAATTTTTAATAATTTCAAAAACTGTTTGTTTTTAGTCAACTAGACAAATACAACTAGAACACAACTAGACAAGTACAACTAGAACACAACTAAACAAATACAACTGGAAAACAACTAGACAGGTACCAAAAGAAAAGCATCTAAATTAGGGGATATTAAAAAATATATATATTTATATAAAACAGTTCTTAATATAAAATTAAAAAAAAACCTTTTACACAGGGTGATCTTGTGCAGACAGTTGTTTCAGTACTTGGTCCAAGAACACTGCATTGCTTTCCATTACCTAAGATAACAGGATTGTTACATTCTCTACTTCTTTGCACAAATCCACTGCCACATGTAACACTGCACACACCCCAATCACTCCATTCGTTATAACCTCCATTTTGACCTAAAAAAAATATTGATTAATATATACAGTTTCTTCTAATAGTTCAGGCATATTGTATATATCTGTCAGTAGTATTGTTTTTTATTTTTTATTTTTTCAACATCTTTACTTCCAACTAGGCTGCATGTAACCACTATTAGAGTTGGAAGTTACTGGAAGAGAAAAGATGAAGTTGAACAGATGACTTAAAAGATTGCAAATTATATGAACCAGGAAAGCAAGATGAACGAATTCAAAAGAACAGATGTTAAAGGAAAAAAACTAAATGAATAAGAGTTATTGGAGCACTTAGGAATACTCACACAAAAAGGATGAGACATAATTGATTGAGGAGTAACATAAGAATGAACTTTAGTAGATGGCACACAAGATGCTAGCTCTTTTAGAGCAGTGCCCATTATAGTATTTGTTTTATTCCGGCAACTAATGGCTAAAAAAAATTGGGTTTTATCTGAATTTTTTTTTTTTTTTTTATCCATTTATTTAACCAAAAATTGAAAAAGATTTTTATAATTTAACAAAATTAAGATGTCACTCAATATAAAAACTAGTGGAGTTGGAATTTTGAAGAATCATTTAAATAAAAAGACACTTAAATAAAATAAACAAACAAACAAAAAAATTAACAGTATTAATAATACATAAAAGCATGCACAAATTAATTAAAAAATGATAATAACAACAATAAAACTATAATAAGTAAAATAATAAGACAAATAATATGAAAACACTCAATAACAACAGCAAACAAAAATAAAAATAATTAGTAAAACAGCACAAATAAAAACAAACTTTACACAAACGAAAAGGCAAAACACAAAAACTACAAAATGAAAGCAAAAAACTACAAAACAAAAATGCAAACACAAACTTCTACAAAATAAAATTAAATTAAAAAATAATAACATCTTTTGTTATTTTTGGCGGAAAAAAAAAGGTGTAGAAAATTTGGTAAAATAGAAAAACAGAGAAAAACAATTAAAATAATTAGCAACAAACGCACAAATAATAACTTTACGCAAACAAAAAGGCAAACATTAAAACTACCAAATGATAGCAAAAACTACAAAACAAAAATGCAAACACAAAAATTTCTAAAAATAAAATAAAATAAAAAATTATTAATTATCTTTCGTTATTTTTGTTGAAAAAAAAAAGGTGTAGAAAAATTAGTAGCAATTTATTTTTACAATTTGGTTAGTTACTTTTTTCTTTTAAATTGGTACTTTGCTTTTAATTTATTATTTTTGTTTTGTTTTTGTTTTATTAAATCTGTTTGTTCTTTTATTATTTTATTTATTTTTTTGTTTTATTTTTCTTCAATCTTTTAATTTGTCTATACCTTTTGAAATTTTCTTATTTTATTTTTAACTTATCTTTATTATACTTCAAAAAAATTCCTTCGACTTTCTTTTTCTATTTTTTTTTGAATAAAAGTTCACCAGCCACTGTGAGCCCTATGCTGTTGCAGAAGTGAGATCCTTTTCATGCTCAAATGCCCTCTCCAAGCATACAGAAAGTGTTGTTGGTTTCTTATCAAAACAAGAACAAATGGTAGATTCATCATAAAACAATGCCACCTTAGATGTCAGAACATCTGGGTGGCAGATCGTTAATGTTAATTAAAATGAGTATAGGGCCAAAGATAAAACCTTGAGGAACACCTGAAGTTACAGAATATCAAGAAAAGTGCTGTCCATCAAGGACAACTTTTATACTACGACTTCTTAAAGATGTTGCCTGACACACCGTAAAAAGAGAGCTTAAGGAGAAGATCAGCATGAGAAACTTTTTCAAAGCTTTAGAAATGTCAAGAACGATAGCCTTAATCTCTCCACCTCAATCTAATGTACGATAAAACCTATTGGTTATTACTGCTACCAAATCAGCTGTAGAAAGAGAAGATCGAAATCAATATTAATGATCAGAAAATAAGTTATTAGATTTAAGATGAGAGATTTAGTGTTTGTTAATTAAAGACTCAAAAACCTTGCTTATGATAGGAAGAAGACTAAAGGGACGGTAGTTAGACGAGTCAGATTGGTCTCCAGAATTTTTGAAAATAGGGATAACAGATGCTGCTTTCCAGCATGCCGAAAAACAAGACTCTAATAAGCACTTGTTAAACAGTTTTGAAAGTATAGACAACAGCTGACGAGAACACTTTTGCAAGACTACAACAGGTATGTTGTCTAGATCACAAGCAGGAAATGACGTTAGATATAGAAGCACGAGTAATAAGAAAGTCAAGCAATGGATCAACCTGTTTGTTGTCAATATCAGGTAGAACGCAACTAGTGCAATCAAAAGATAACATTGATGAAAAGTTTATATCTAGAGAGTGAAGTGGTGCTAAACGGAAGCCCATATAAAAATAATCAATGGATTCAAACTTAGTTTCCTGACAATTGGGTGAATTTTTACGAATGTAAATGCCCAGGCCAAGTATGTGACTATTGTAATCTTTACGAATAATAAGAAAATAACCATCAACACTAAGATCGCAAGATGAGACAGCCGAATTCAAATTAATCTCACAAAGAGCAAGTAGGTCAGGTGAACTTTGCTCACCTGACTTTAGAGATAAGATTCAACAAAAGAAAAGTTACTTTGAAGACCACAAATATTAGTGAATGATCAGTTTAGAGAACTTGGTGATGACTATGGTTTTTTGAATTTTACTCAAAGTATAGAGAGTACTCAGTAATAGCACAAGCAATTGCCTCATTACTCCTAATAAACCCTAAAAAAAAAATTGATAAAACCTAACACAAATTAAAACCATTATAATGTTTAAAACAAAAATTGTTAATTAAGTCAATAAACTTACTTTTAATTAATTTTTATTCAATGAAGATTTTATGTTTAAATGTATGCATATTTCTTATGTCTTTTTTTTTAAAAAAGTTCTTTATAAAACCCAGTATTAAATTTTGTAAACTCACCAACTATATAAATATAATCACTCCAATCAGTACCAACACAGTCTAAATTTGATAGGTCATCACAACTTTTATATAAAGTATTTTTGCAATTGCTCAGCTTTGCTCCAGCTTTATTGAAGGATTTAAATCCAACACATATACCCCAAAATCGAATTGAAAAATGAGTATAGCCTTCCTTTTTTGCTCTCTGCTCACATGGCGACGTTAAGTTTCTAAATGCAAAAGTAAACTGAAAATTTAATGTGTTATCAAAATAACACATTAAATTAAAAAAATAGTAATGTAAAACTATTTTAATTTAAATTTGAACCCTTTTAATTTAGAGTTTTCAATATGTTTTAAGCAATTATTACATTCTACTTCTGTAGTGATTTTTGACTATATTTTTAAATTTAAAGAAAAACCTAAATATGAAATAAAATAATGCGCTGAAATTTGATTCAGTCTCCAGCCTTTTAATTTTGCCTTTGGCCTTGAAACTTGAGGTAAGTAAATATAAGCCCTGAAGTCTGTTGTTGACAGTCATAAAGCAAATTTATTCCTCAATTAAAAATTCATACATTATTATTAATTTTGACATATAGTATTTGTGCCAATAATGTAAAACTCTACATTAAATAGAAAAAAAAGTGCTTGCCCAGTGTCTAAGCAAAATTGTTTGTCTTTACAATATATAATTTTCTTTAGTTTTTATTTTTATCTTTTTAAATAATTTGTAACTCTACTTAATGATAATAATATAATAAAAAATGAACATAGTTAAAACCTTGAGTGAAAAAAATTCAGAAAACAGTTTCTTATACCTTTTGATGCTGACTAACAACCTTTTTATGCTGAAAAAAAACCTTTTTATACTGATTAAGAACTTTATAAAAAGATAAATTTAAAAAACTGAGAAGCTCTTATATAAACCTGAATTTAAAGGTTTCAAACAATTTTTTATCAATTTATAGAATTATAGATTGTCATAAAATTTTTAGCCATAAATTAATTTATAAAATTATAGATGGCCATTAAATTTTTAGCCAAAAAACAACTTTTCTTAAATTTCTTAAATCTCAACCTTCAATCTCAAGTCTAAAAAAAAAAATTCTGTAATCAGGATATAAACTCCTGTAACTACAACAAGTGATTACAAATTCTTTTTTGATGACATGTATCCAGATATGTATCTTTCTAATTACCAACAAATACACCCTGGTAATCTAAATCTGTCTATGTTATAGGCAATATATAGACAAATTTATTTCAACAATTTTTCAACATTCAATAGTTATGATCAAATAAAATTTCCAACTTCTGATAAAATAAAAGGGGTTTTAAATATTGCATGGTCATAACTTTTGAAAACTAAAAAAAATTAGATTCAGTCTTATAGCTTTCATACAGCAAGAATAGACAAAGCACATAGGCCCTCAGTGCTTGTGGCTTCTGTTGACAGCAGCCTGCATGAGATTATTTTGTAGGCAACTTAGCTCTATGAAATTAGGTAGCCCCTACCCTAATAAATAAATATTATATACTACAGCACAACAATGAAAAAAATATTAGACATGTGTTCTGGTTCAATAAGATATTTAAATCCAACTATAGAAAATGATTTAATACAATGCTTGCGGCATAAATTACTAAAGGAATTAAAATTTAAGGTTAATTCAACACTATTTTATTCTCTCATGTTAGGCAAGATATTTCTAAAGTAGATCAATTAAGTGTTGTGTTAAGATATGATCATTCAATATGAATGTTTTACTGGTTTCAAATTAATTTTGAAACAAGTAAAACATTCTTTAGAATTTTTGAACTAAAGAGTCATTCTGCAGAAAAAAAATGAAGGATCAAATATTAAAAATGATAAAAAAATGAATACTCCATTAAAGAAAAATGCAAAGGTTAGGGCTATAATAGGAGCTTCTGAGATGGCATATAATAAGATTCAGTCAAAAAAAAAAAGAAATTCAACCTAAAGCAGAGTATAAGTATAGTAATATCGCTAAGGAACTTGGTAGTGAATGACAGTGTTAATAGCGATAAGGAACTTGGTAGTGAATGACAGTGTTAATACGTATCATAAAAACACTTTTTTTACACTATTCTCCAAAAAATTTACACATTTTCAAGAAATAATGTGAAGAGATAGAATCTTCTTTCATATTTAACTAGTGAGTCAGAAGTAACTTTTTAAAAAACTAAATCAATCATATTGATCTTGTAGATTGATATCTATTACTGCTGTTAAAGTAAAACTTTAACATCAAATAAAATCAAATAAAAAGAAGAAAGGGTAACAGCTATACAAATAATAAGGAGAAATTTTTATTTGTATTTGTTTGTATCTTTTTGCTTAACGTGATGTGTCAAATTAATTATGCATATTACTTTAAATGAGGCTACCAAAGTATTACCATTAGTCTCCAAACATTTAAAAGAGTTTAAAAACTCTTGTCATTATAAAAATTTAAAAGCAGGTGATCTTGCACAACAGTGGGGAGTACTGTTTTTCAATTAAAACACCATTTTGATGAAATAGATTACAATAATCAATTTGATAATAGAGAGCATCAGTTTAAAGTTGACATATTTTATTAATATAAAGTGTAAAAATCTTTAAAAAAATATTCTAAAATTATTTCTGAACAATACTCAAATCGGTAATTTAAAGTAATTTCTTTGGCAAAAAATGATTTGACTCCTTCAATATCTATTAGACAACTTTTTGATTTAATTCTAAATAGATATGGTTGTTTAGAAATTGAATTTTTAGAAGTATATCTTGTTATAATGGAATTTTTAATGCTTCTAGTAACAGTTGCTATTGACAAAAGAAAATCATTTAGCAAATTAAAATAGTAAAAGATTTTGGAAGAAATTCTATTGGGCTAATAGACAACAGGATCTTGCATTATTATCTATTGAACATAATTAAGCTGTAAAAAGCATAATTAAGCTGTAAAAATGGATATTAAAGTACTTATTAATGATCTTGCTAATTAAAGAAAAAATAATTAATGAAAAAAAAAAATTAAAAACTAATAAAACTTTTGCATCTATTTTTATAATTCTTAATCAGTTCTGTATTTTTTGTCATTTGGAATTATGGAAACTATTTAATGGGGGCCCCTTGACTAGTGTTACCAGATGTTCTCTTTTTTTTACGAAGGAGCGCGTGCTAATATATGTTTTTGCTCTTAGTTGTCAATAACATTTAGTTCTTAATTTTTATGTTTGCGGCCATGATTAAATTCTAGTTTGATTTACTCTCACATAGTTTAGCAAACTCTCCTACAGAAAAATAAAATGTATGGTTACCCAATCCAACTATGAATGTGTATTTAGATAAATACTCTGACATCACATTAAAATTTCCTGCTTTCGGGGGCTTTAGTACATCAACTACACTGTTAAAATATTAATCTTTTTTTTTTTATATACTTGCACAAGTCGCTGCAGCGCGCTGCAAGACTGGACAGTTTTGTTAAAAAATTTAATAAGCTATGATGTTTTTAAGTTTAAGTTGCTCAACCATGTATGTAAACAAAAATGGTTAATATTTTAACAGTGTGTCTTATAGCCTGCTAACACAAGAGAGTGCCACTACATCAATTGAGGATTTTGGCACAGAACAACAATCTTTCCTTCCATTAGCTTTTTTTTTTCCTTTCTGGAAATGCTGTATTCTAAAGTAACAAAAATAGAAGTAACAATTTGTTAAATATATATTAAACAATTTGTTATATATATACTAGGGTGTGTCATAAAACAATATTTTTTGAAAATGTCTGATGATACCCCCTAAATATGTTCTATGTAATCAATTAATACTAAATTTAAAAAATTATCAAGTAAAAAATTTTAGGGGTTGCTCAAGACTTAAACATCAAATGGGTCCCTAATATTAAAAAAAAAAAGTTTTTTAAAAGCATATCATTCTGGGTCTCAAAAGAAGTGCAACTTTGTAAAAATTTCAAAAATAATAATCATTTTATATAAAGATTACTAGTTTAAATTTTAAAAACTATCATTTTTTAACAGAAAATAAAAAAGTACATATTTTCATAGTTTTTTTAAATAAACTTTTTGAATTTGTGTCGCTATATATTTTTTTATCAATTTTGAAATTTTTATAAAATTTCACATTTTTATAAAATTTCACATTTTTATAAAATTGACATGCTTTTAATGAACTTTTTTTTTCACAACATTAGGGACTCGCCTGATGTTTAAGGGTCTTGAGCACCTCTAAAAAATTTTTTCATTAAAAATTTTGTAAAACTGGTATTAATTTATTACATAGAACGCATTTAGAGGGTATCATCAGACACCCTTTTAAAATGTTGTTTTATGACACACTATAATATTATACCCTATCAACAAGCAATACATCAATCGTCTTCAAAAAGTTGAAAAAAAAATCATCACTTAAAACAAATTCAAAAGCCAATGGTGTTATCAAATTGCAAATATTGAATATATTTGGGGAAAAAAGTTAAAAAAAAATAGTTTGTCTAATGGTTCTAAATAAACTGAGTATTGTTGCTTATTTTTTAAAGACGATATTTTTATAACTGTTAATGATAATAGTTTCTTTTGCAAAGATTGGGCCAAAAATGGCTTTAAAATTTCAATTTCTGGATAAATTTTTTGAAACCTATATAGCAAATCAATAGTTTAAATTTCTGTAAACTAAACTATGAAGAGCTAGAAATTGTCAAAAATTACAAAAAATAAAAAAGGATCCAGGTACTGACTTGAAAGAAAATATTTGTAAATGTTCCGCTAATAAAATTCTCAAAGTTACTTCTTCCTAAATTTTGGTATCCAGGAGTTCTAAAATTATTAAAAGCTGATGGACTATTAACAGGAAACAAATTATGACTTTTAGTTTTAGAGGAACAATCAATTTTTTGAATTTAGAGTCTCCAGGTATAATACCATGAGGACTCCAGGACTCCAGGCTTTAAAACAATAAGTTTCAAGTCATTAAATCTCATGAATTTTTTTTCTTATAGCAGATCATAAGTCAAACAATATGCTTAGAGCTTCTGGACACTAGAGACCTGGAAAAAATTGAGATATAAAGGCAGAGTCTATTTAGGACTACATGCCCCTGAAATACACACATTATCTAAATTATCGCTCAGCTGAAGCTATAACATTTTCAAATTTTTCTGGTAGCTTATGGATTTGTTTGTCTTTTTAGGCAAAAAAAAAA